CATGACTCTAAGTGTGCTATATTTTTTTATTGTTTGCAAGAAAATAAAAGAGATAACACAAAATGATAACGTGAATGTCTTATGTACTTAATAGTATCCCAAACATAACACGATATAGGAAATCGTGATATTAAACTGTAGGGTCAGCAATTAATGCCTTTGATGCGTGCCTTCACCAATACGCACGACCCCTGAGTGAGCAATATCATTTTGTCCCGAGGCAAAAGTTAAGCTATAGATGATTTCAATTCCCTTTGCTTGTTTTGGTGTGTCCGTCTATTGTCGTACCGTCAAGCAAGAGAAGCTCTTCGCTAGGAAACACAATTAATTTAATAAGACCTATTTCATCAAAGTTGACATCCAGCCGAGTTCAATGTTAATAAGAGACATGTATRACTGTGAGGGGAGGTGAGGGGAGGTATGGTGCTCATCACGAAGATACTCAATTTATCAGTCGAGATTATGATATAGGACGGTGTGGAGTAGACTGAGCGAAGTTTGGCTGTGCTTTGACAGTAGAAATCGTTGCAACGCGATATCGAAGTTATTTAAAACTTTATCTTTCCTACGTCTCGGGGGCTTCTATGAAGCTTTTTCAGAGTTAAAGGATTTTGTATTTCTCGTTCAAACCGAACCTTTTAACCTGCCCCGACTAGCTTTTCAATACGATACCAGCAAGTTGAAAGTGTAAAATACCAGTATATGTGTGCCAATAAATGCATGTCAACTGTTAAATGTCGAGTCAATCGACTCAGTGATACCAGTGCCCACAAGAGAATTTCAGTGACTTCCCATGAGAACTTTAAAATACCCAATTATTYCAGAAATCTTAAACGTTGTGTTTCAAATTGCTTTTTAATTACTCGTGCTACCCACAGGTTCGCCCAAGTATAAGTTTTATGAAGGCTACTATGACATGCTATGAGTGTGGTAGAGTTTTGGACTTCCGTTTGCCACGTCACAGGGCCGTACGTCACAAGGCAGTATGTTTGCCACAGCTAGCCCGAAAGGTGCCATGAATCAGCCTTTTATCAAAGATGTTGCACAGAAGTTTGCCTGGATGCCATGTAACGTCACATATAAAGAAAGTTGCTTTTTATTTCCAGTGCAATTGTGTTTATTCACAGATATTCACAATCACTTTTAATGTATAAGATATAATCAAATGATTAAGCAATATAGTAGTTGAATCGAAGTTTGATTGATTGATTGATTGATTGATTGATTGATTGATTGATTGATTGATTGATTGATTGATTGATTGATTGATTGAAAAAATATAAAAAATGTTTATGATACACTTGTGTAAACGCGTCTTTCAGGTTATCATAAAAATAAAAAAATGCATGCATTTTTTTGSAATGTCTCATTTGTGCAACATATCCGACGTTTCTGCATCTTCGTCTTGAGGAACTTCTTCCATATCGACTTTTTCGACCAATGTTCTTGGTATTGGWTCTCTCTTCATGCAGCAAGGAATGCTAAAGTCTTCCTTGGCTGATTCTGCCTCTTCAATGGTTTGGTGCATGTTGGCGTAAATAGTTTCTGGTAGCCAAAGGGTTGCTATCCCTGATATCAATGCCAGTATTCCAAATATGGTAACAGGGAGAGTGATGCTAAGGCCTGGTAGCTGAGCCTGTTAAAAATGCGTGAAATGGTGCACTTAAAACTTTTAAGTATTAAAATAACTATTAAACTATGTAACTATTAAAATAGCGATGTTTAACGTTCAGTTCAAGACACCTAAGACCTCAACAATAAAATARATCTTCATATCAAAGAATTGCCCCACAAAAGTTGTCCTTCGTTTAGCAGCCATATATGGTAATCTTACCGGAAGTACGATAGGAATGGTTTTTGTCGATTTTCACGACTTTTAAAGCTTGAAATCGTCTGAAACTTGCAGATATTATAGCGAAAACARTTCTCAACAATCGGCCATTTTGTTTGTTTCCATATATGGCATGGATTCGCTAAAGGAAGCACAGGGAACCCGCACGAATGACATACAATTCTTTGATATGATATAACTGTATCATATTTACGTCGTTTACAATGGTGAATGTATTGAAATGACAATATTWTTACCACCATGACGATGAATGGAGAGAGAATAGCTCCAACACGGGCTGTCATTGAGCCAAGTCCCATTGCCGTATTCCTATAAGAGAACYCAACATATCACTTCATTGCTCTGTTCCAGTGTTAATCTTATCATCCTCATTTCCGTACGGCACAAAGAAATCAGTGAAATTTAAGCACCTGGTTAAAAACACAAAGAGGTTGGAATGTGGAAATAAAAAGAAAGAACTTCAGGAGTGGACAGAGAGAAAAGAGTTTAACGAGAAACAAAACATTACCTGACGACAGTTGGGTATAATTCAGTGGTCATCAAATAAATGTTGTTGAATTCTGACCAAACGACAGAGCGTCCAAGGATAGCTAGAGCTCGAATAGTATTGGAGTACTCTTTAGGAAGAGCCAAGATAATGAATGAGAACGTCCCAACCATCAACATGTAAACACAGAATGGAATCCTCCTACCAAATCTATACAGACAAAAATCAAGTCTGCTCAGTCTAGATTAGATGAAAAACGGAACTATATATCTATCAAGATGGTAGAGGGCCGTCAAATATTTTGTCATTTAAACTGACTAAMAAAGTATTTGTCCTACTTMTCCATTACCTGCAACCAAAAGGATATTCAAATTTCTCTATTTGGCAAAACCGGCCACAGGTCATTGAGAAATTTTTTGGATCCGTCAAAAAAGCGAAACTAATCGAACAACTTGAGTAATCAAAACAGACTACTTACTTTAGGAAAGTGTACCACACCACAAACACGACTGGTATATCGATGAGGTTCATCAAGAAATAATTCAAATAGATGCTTCCCTCTAGCTGTGTGGTATAGAGATCAAATCCAAAGTATACTAGAGCAACCACGAACCTGAATAATCAGATACAAAGACTAGACGTGTTCAGTTATGTTACATGACATATATACATTATACATTTCCATTTGTGGAAACTTTTAAGTTTATCAATTTTTTATATTAGAATATCATGGAAATTACGCGGAAATACTACAGATCAGAATATTTTCCGCATAAAATTGAAATATCTGTGACGATTTAACCATTATTTCCAAGATAAACCAAAACSAMCTTGTAGCGCACCTCTATATATCAGTGAAACAATAACTTACCAGTTCAAACAGACAATTATRGTCCATTTTCTTAGTTTTGGTGTTTTCAGTAAATCTAATGGTGTTGTCTTTTTATTGACATTCTCKGCAAGATTGKGTTTCTCGTCTCTGCGAATTTCTTCCATTAACTCTCGCAGCTCATTTTCGTCAAGCTTTTGATTTTTCTTTGGCCCGCATTTGACTAGAACTGAATGAGCTTCGTCAACTTTATCATGAGCAAGAAGCCATCGCGCCGTTTCTGGAAACTTCCTGGAAATGGTAATCAGTTGTCTATCATCATTTCATCAATCATAGATATTATTACCGATAGTTTAGGTAACAATGTTTTGTATCTCACCAGATAAAGATGAAAAACAGAAACCCAGGAAGACTGCCTACCAAGACGTTCTTCCTCCAGTCACGAAGAAAGTATGCTATCATTACAGCTACCCACGAACCAATCTTCCAAAAAATTCCCTGTCCTTTACCAGCGTGGGTACGTTTGTTAGGACCAACAACRTCGACGATGTAAACAAACTGAGTCAACATACAACCAGCCAGGGAAAGACCAACGCCGAAACGAAGAAAGATCATCAATGGAATYGAGTTGGCAAAAGATGACGTGAACCCAAACAAAATCTTCAGGAAAGATATAAGTACAAAGATTTAATAAATATTATAATAACTATAGGACGCCGTTTACACTTTATTCCAGCTGCAGCTGCTTAGATTTTGAAGTACTAATTTAAAGTACAATATTCATGAATCACAACGACAGTCGAGAAAAACATTACTTCGAAACTTCGTCGATGTTTTTGTTTAGTTCTTACCATAATTCCAAGGCTAATGCACATGGATAGCTTCCTTCCGTACGTGTCAGCCACCCAACCACTGACAATTGATCCAATYAGCATGCCTGCAAAGTAACTCGATTGAATAGCTGCACCAAGATATGCACGGTCACATAGGAGATTCCACTGGAAAATCAACAAAATTATCATAATCAGTACGTATACGCCTAGTAACCAAGTAGACAGCAACCACCTGGAATTTTCTTCTTCTCGTTTCTTTTTAGAGAAAAAAACTTTCTAGTTTATCTTTAATGTAGTAATGGTTTAGTACATCCTATTMCTTCATCAGTGATCGAGTGCCAAGATTCATCAAAACAAATTATTTTCCGTTGCAAATATAATAAAAATATAATAATAAAAATCTCTTACCTCAGACACGGTACTTGTGAAAGGACCGTCAAACTCATAATCTGAACAGTTATGACAGCACTTGTTTGGAGGGCACGTCGAGTTTATGTCGGTACAATGAAACTGAGGAGTCCCAAATGCAAACAGGGAATGTGCAAACTGAATACCCATGGGGGTCTGCGTATAACACACCCAAAAGTACAGGAGAATTTGGTACGGACCCATTGTCCGTATAATGCTGAATACATCGTCAAACTCATATCGACTTGTCCTTTTTTTCACGTCAGCCATACTAAGAAATATATATATACTTATCAATAAATCTTGGGTAAAACATTCTCAAGAGAACTGTGACTTTCTGTCACTCTTTCTTTTCCTTTTTTTTCTGTTCTTTTTTTTCAATCTTTCTCCCTTTCTTCCTTCCTTTCTTAATTTCTTTGTGTACATTCTTCTTGTTAACAAGGGGCCGTTTGGCGTGCGCATGCGCCAGTCTGTTGAAAATTCATTGAAATCCATGAGTGATTCACTTAAAGCGAGAAATTACAACGACACGAAGGACAATTTCCAAAAAATGATTTTGGCTGTTTTTGACCCTGAAATGTTCTGTCGTGACTCAAAAACACTCATAAATAGTGTAACCTACAACGAGGAAAAACACTGGCGTTATTGGACTGATTGGGACCGTTTAAATCTTATTTAAGAAATGTTGATATTAATGACTTTGTGTTTACAATATGGAGGCTGCAGTGGTTTATATACGCAACTACTATTCCAGTTTTTGCTGAGTGCTGGTCAAGATTCAACGCAGGTCATGAAGTAAATGGTAAATGTACACATGTAGTAATATAATTAGGCATCGTTTAGTAACATCCACCTCGAAATGTTCGAAAGACAGTTTCTTGAAGTGTACAATATTTACGCTTAAATATTATTAACTGTTACATGAAATACTACTTTCCCTTTATATACCACCAGGACTCATTAGAATAAGGCTACCAATATCAAGACTTATGCTTTGCAAATGGTTTGATAATGTTTTCTTGTCTATGAAAAATGTGGAACGGTGTTAATTCTGCAAATTCTTACGTGCTGTTGAGCACTCACGACAGATTTAGCATTCTTTTGGCTGAAGAGTTCAACTTGTTTGAATCAAGTTATCATAAATATCTATGTGTAGTTCTATAGCTGTATCATTATAAGTTATGAAATAAACTATTGCAGTGCAATCGATTCACATCTTAGGAATATATTATTGCTAAAGGCTGTAAAGGTGTGCACAAATAATTCACTACATTTTAACGGTACAAAGTGGCTTCGTGTTATAAATCTAGCCCGAGACTCACAGTAATTTATATAAAGTTTGAAAGATATTCGTGTGCATTGTAAATATATCTACTTGGTTTTGTTTGGAAAAATGTGGAAGATAAGAAAAAAACATCAATTATGTTCAGAATCGAAGCTTCCGCAGCTACTACAATGTTATTCTACCCGTATTCTAGAGCCCATGGTCGTTATAACGCAGCGGTTGCGCGCATGCTCATGCATAACGGCCTCTTGTTCTTCTTGTTAGTTGTACAAAAGAAAGTCCAAGATGGATTGACAAAATCARGATTGGGAAGACTTCGCTAGACATGCGGGAACCATGGATTAGTTGTAAAATATGACAATTATGCATGATGGATCATCATTCAGTTGCAGAACGAATGACTATTTACCATGCTTATCTATTACTTTTTGTTTCCCACGAATTTCCGCGCGCACGTAACGGCGGAGTGATCATTGGTCGAGAAAATTCTAAAAATAGGCACGACTCTGTAACCAAGCCCAATAAACATAGTGGGCGCTCTTAGTAATGAGAACCTTCTGTACAAAATCACAGTACGGTCACATCACGGTCACGAAACCTCGCATGGTATCAATGCTAAGTGAAAATAAGTAATTCGATAACACATCACCGCTACGGGATGGTACGATCACGATACGAAAGTCGTGTTTTTTTCACTGTCATACGAAATCCGCTCTATAGCCAACATTGTCGATGTGCCATAATTTGCATGACATCCATTTATCACGTGACTTAGTAAGCGTTTTAKTTTTAGTTTTAAAATACAAACCAAGCCTCTGGAACTAGGGTAACTGTGAAATTTAGTAAGGCCTAATGTTCATGTAATAGTCTGAATCGTATCAATCCCTCAAAAACGCGTGGTTGTATTGTTGTTCTAGAGGTCAATTGGGTCCAAGGTTGAGATAGTTATGGAAACTAAGCTTATAAAAGAACAATGGCGTCAAAGAATGTTTCGCCGCAATATTCGTACTTTTTTATATTACAGCTCATATATATTATCGCCCGGWTCGTCCTGGTCAAACACTTTTATATCAGACATGGTGCAAAGTAAATGTTTAAACCCCTATAAGAACGTAAGAACGAAATTCAGTTGCATTGAGACAATTGGTGTGCAGTTTATGCAAATATGCCACTCAAAACCATCGATATTGTAAATGCGTACTCCTACTCCACAAAACAACCCAAGTATCTATCCCTACCTTGTGTTTCTATTCTRAMTTCGCGGTTCTTTGTGGATCTAGAGTTAAGCGKGACTGAATCCTCACTAAACTGCAACCTAATACTGAAACTTAGAGTGCTTT